TGTGGGTTGGAGGGTGGTGTAATGTGTTGGGTGCATGTTTGGCCAAGAATTTTATTTTTTTTTGGCTAATTATTGGATTTATTTGTAGTATTTTAGTTCAAGTCTGTTTGAGGTGCAAATATTTGTAATTTGTTTGATTATTTGAAGAGCTATTCACTTGTAAGTGTATGATGAACTGAAAATTATTAGTTTATTTCGGATAAAAAGTGAAATTCTATCTTGTTAGATTCAAAAAAAATATGTTAATATTGATAATAGTAACTATTGAAATTCAATAGTACAGAGTAATTCAATGATTTTTTTTTTCTTTCTAGTGGTAGTAAGTTGAATGGGTAATGATATTTCGAATATTGGGCCATTGGCTTATTATTACTCTTTTAATTATCGGGCCATTGCCCACTCCTGTGATTATTTACCTTGCCATTATTGGGACATTGGCTTATTATTACTCTAATGATTGATGTGAGCTTGTATATGCATTCTGATCAATTGTAATCGATAGATTATGCAAATAATCGTGTGACGTAGATAATTTCGTGTATGTTATGTATATATGATCTAATATCATGAGAGAATATGAGAATATTTATCGTGCCTTTCTCATTAATCATACGTTCAAATATATACATCAGTATTCTAGGTTAAGCTAGGTTAAACTAACTAAATAATATATACGATATTATCTACATAACAAAATCATTTGCATAATCTATCAATGATATTTACAAATATTACATTAGGTGTTTGGGTTCAGTTAATAATCTGGTTGAAGTATTGAAAAAGACATTGGATTCAGGTTAAGGGTGCGTTCTATTCAGCTGATTTTCACTTATCTAAATTTACCAGATTTATTTGAACTTATTTTTTCTGATCTGAACTTATCTTAACTTAATCGAACTTATCCAAATTTATTAGACTTGAAATAAGTGAAAATAAGGTGCCTTATTTTAGAGTGATCATCAATAAGATTCATGGATAATGAACAATGACGGATCCATAAATCAAATATAGACCGGGCCAATCGATCTCTAAAGTTTATTCATAAATTATCCTAATTTTAATTTACTACAACAAAGAATAAAAATAAAGATTATAAGAAGTAGAATGTTATCCTTAAGCTAACAAAAAGGACCATCAATTAAAAAAAAGAAAGAAAAACAAAATAAAGAAAAAGTTGAGCATTGGGGGGGGGGGGGGAAGGCACAAAAAAGAAGAAAATAACGTGACCTACTGGTTTCGATCTCAAAACCAGCATTAATTGGGCTATGAAGCACGAATGGAGCCAACTTAGCCAAGGTGCTTTGCATCTAATTTTTTACAGCTTAAATAAATACTTGTATATAGTTTTTTAGGATCATGGGGCCCCTAGATCCGTCATTGATAATAAAAGTAGGGTACATATCAAGCTTCGAACCTGTATGCTAATATGTGAGAAGTTGTGGCATACTACTAGTAATATGCTACCACTTGCTCACTAGTCATCACAAACTAATGTTATATTAAGCTTGTGGGTTGTGAATTATGCCATTAATGAATATAACAATGATTAAACCACGGTTTAGTATATTGTAAGATATGACTTAGTCATGTTGACTTAATGAAATGCAGAAATGTTTGCTCTCGAAGCCGAAATGACAATCATGGGGGAATTAAGGAAGAAGCAATCAATCAAATGAGAAAATTCAAAGGTGATAAATCAAATCAGTGAAATCATTAACAAGTGACGGACAAGAAACAACATTGAAAAAGTCCGGCCCAATGTTAATGGGTTCAGATCAGTTCATTCTTTTGCTGTCCTTTTACTACGGAGTATTATAGTACGAGTACTAACTAAAATTGTTGGTTGGTGGGTAAACAATCTTGTATCAAAATACTCCGTATTTTATAATGGACCATGTAAATAAATTATACTCCTAATAATTTTAAGTTTAGTTTAGCAAGAAATTATTGAGAACGGCCTTTCAAAAAAAAAAAAAAAAGAAATTATTGAGAACGATGACTTGAGGTCTAGAGTATACACATTTAGGAATCTCAATATTTTTAGATGTGATAATGTGAGGATCATATCAATATGAAATAATCCTGTAAAAAAAAAAATTTAAATTAACGGTGGCTAGCTAATTGGTATTTGAATGAATTGTTAGCTGCTAGTTGATTATATTAGCTGTTTTGCATTGACTATGCTCTTTTTTTCTTTCTTTCTTTTTTTTTTTTTTTTTTTTTTTTTTTTTCCAACTACATCATACATAGCAAACCTTTATTTCAAAAAAAATCTCCCATGGTTAACTATTTTAAAATTAGCCTTTTGTACTCAAACCTTTCTTCCAATACCTTTCAACAAAAACACTCCCAATACAAATTTGGACTACTCAAACCTCAATTTTAGCCTTATACCTCCCTCATATCTCTCCCAGCAAAATACCACCTTAATTTTAAGTTCTAGATCTAATTCATACATTGAGATTATAAATTAGTATATTCATGCATGAATAAGTTTGACTTAGTCTTTTCCTCCCACAAACTTACCACTTTTCCTTCTTCCATTGTAAGTTAACGTTTGAGCATTGACTATATATCACACTCAACAATTTTTAAGTTCCAACAACAAGAAAGACAGATAGAATCCAACCTGTGGACGCTAGTGAGATGAATCATGAAATTTCACCATGATTAATTTTTTGTTTATATGAAAATAATATTCGAATTTCTTAGCCCCTAATAATCCAACAAGGCACGCATCAAATAATTAAATTTCGTTGCAACTTCCTTTTCAACATCGTTCTTCAATGCATATATATTAAGAATGACCCAAACAACTAGTCTCATTTGATAAGCTATCTCATTATATATCCAAAAAAAGTTTTTGATTTTGATCATCCCTAATTAATCAAATATTATATTCCTTATTATACGATCAATTACAAAAGAAGGAAAAAATAAGCATGGAGTTGCTAGGTCGTCTAAGAAGGGCCGTGAAGAAGTTGACCTTTCTATTGAATCTTAAAAAGTTCCTTACAAGCTCTACATGGCAAGTAGCATCATTGATTCGAGCTCGAGCACCGGCCATCACAAGAACGAGCCACTGGAATCGGCGAGCCTACAGCTTCAGTGATCGTCCAGGATTAAGAGCTTGTGTAGAGGTTGTGGTTGTAGACCATAATTATGGTTCTCATACAGATGATGATGATGCTTATGATGCTGAAGGAGAAGATAATGGTCGTCAATCGGAGGGGTCTAGTAGCACCTCCTCACCTCCAACACTGCAACGTGCAACAAGTTATCCCTTAGAGTTGGATATTGATAAGCATGCTCAGGCGTTTATTGACAATTTTCACAGGCATCTAGTGTATGAGAAGCAAGTTTCGCTTGAGCTTAGGTATTGTGGGCATGGTAGTAGTAGCTCAACTTCTGATAGTATAGTTTCTCCATTATCTTCAGTTAGTTCTCAGTTTGTTTCGCCTACTTAACTAGATGATTAAATTAATCTTATTGTTTCATTTCATTTTCTCTGTTTTTTTGAAAGAACATGGATTGAGAATTCAAGATTATTGAAGAGGTTCTGTATGTTTGTAGAATGATCAAATTTGATTAGATTTGATTTTTAGGAGGACTTATAGGAGGTCTCCTGAAATTTTGCTGATTGATATTTTTACCAATGTATTAATTAAGATGCAAATATTAATTAGGTATCTTTGGAAAATTGTGTCTATTTTTGTTCATCATTGACTCTGTTTCATGTTTGTAATATGTGATTTCTTGCTTATCTTTTTTGGTTAGGACTAGAACTTATGTCTCTGTTACATACTCTTTTTATGCCCAAAATGTTTGTACTTTAGGCCTCCTATAGTCCTATTATCCTATTAACTATGTCCATTAATGTACTCAATAGAAGGAGGATACCCAACAGTAGAACTAAACCCATAATGCTTATGGCCCATGAGCCAACTATCACATTTTTTTGGTTAATAAGGAGAAAGACCCTATCGAGCCGGAACCTCTCACAGGTCCTTTCAGCCCGGGTTAGCAGGCTAGACACTTTGGGAGTGGAGGGAAAGGTAAGGAAATCCCCATCCTAAAGTGCCTTTAGTGGGGCTTGATCCCACTACCTCAAGGTTGTGAGATACAAATTTTATCACTAGACCAAGCTATGCTTGGTATGAGCCAATTATCACATATGGTGAAAATTGAAAAATGCACAACAATTAAGAAGAAACACTAATCCGATAACATACCTTCTTCTTACCTATATAATAATAATAATAATAATAATAATAATAATAATAATAATAATAATAATTGTATATACGAAGTACTAGAATGTGGGTGGTGACCATTAAAGCATTCATTCTTTTTAAGCCTTACTAAAAGTAAGATCAATGAAGTGAAAATAAGTTTTAATCACTAAAAATCAATAATTTTAAAGAATAGATGTAATGTGTTAATAACTTAATATAAATAAGTTAAGTTTAACAAAGATAATTTAATTGTTGTATTAGTAATTTCAATTCAGCAAATAAAATTTTAGTTCCCCTTCAAAAAAAAATAAAAAAAAATAAATTCAGTTAGGTGAGAGAACATCTGAACATAGCCTTACAAATAAAAAAAACAATTTTATTTTTTTTAATCATATTTGAATCTAATAAAATAAAATCAAATCTATAACTAATACTAAAATAATAACAGTTGACATCATCCTTTCTCCTAACTGTACACTTGTCAAGTTGTGGTAGAAAATTTTCTCGCCTAAAATATATGTGATGTCATCAATTTAATTTTTTTATTTTTTATACAATATAATTTTTTGGTCATCAATTTCACTATTCATTTTTTTAAAAATTTGAAAATTTAGTATATTAACTAATATCCAAATTTAGTGCAATAACTTTGTAACTGTGACAATATAACAAATTTATTTGTCAAAATCGTACATCGCACGAGACTAATCTAGTATTTTTATATTTTTGAAACCATAAATCACAAATTAAAATTTTATGGAGTAATAGAAGTTGCAGATAATATCAAAAGTCAAGACGTAAATTAAAAGTCAAAAGAGATGGGTTTTCCAATTCTGTATCGGTTGGAAGGCGAAGTACAACCACAGCAATTGGAACTTGGAAGCACCAAATTTGTGGAGTCCATCACATTTTGGTTTTAATTATATGATGCCAAGTCGATGAGATCTCTAGGCCGTGGTTTATTCACAACCATGTGGGTTACCACTTCCCCTCAAACCTTCCTTCCAACCAATACAACCCCAGTTTCATATTCACCTTTCATTTCCTTTCCGAAACTTCCACAACCACCGCCGAAATCCCTTTCCACCGCCCAGTTACGCCGGAGAAACCAAAACCCCGCAATCCTCGCCACCGCCTCCCCACAGGACGTTGGTGGGCTGGGCCAAGCAGTACTCAGCACCATCAACTCCGGCCCATCAACGGGTTCGAATCCAACCCAACAACAAGAAAAGCCCAACAAAGGGAATGAGATAAGCGGGTCGGATATTTTGAAGGCTTTGCAGAAAGCAAGCGTCAAAAAAGCAAACACTAAGAAGCAGCAGAAGAAAAAAGGGTCCGGTGAAATGAAGAAAGCAGAGAAGAATGGGAAAAAAGAAGTAATCGATTACGATAAGGTCCGACCCGTATCCATCAAGAGTGATTGGGCTACCCGATTGGTTGAATTGGAGAAACGTCTTCAAGAATTCTCTAATCTCTGAAACTGCTGCGTGAGTTTCTTCTTCCTATTTTGCCCTTCACTTTATTCATTTACACAATGGATAATAGTTAGGAGTATATGTATATCTGTATATGCAATATAATTAGCTGTTCTTGCAGTGTAATTTCTTGTACATATATATGACCACATGTATGTCTAGTCGAGCATTTTATAAAATATTCATAAATACGGAGTAATCATTTATATAATGTACAGTAAAGTTTATGTGGAACTTATTCAATTCACTGTTTATATTAGTAGTACATTTCATACAATGACAACCTCCAACATAATTTTATTTCACGAAATAATCAAATTTGCTAAAAGTTTGAACATCGAATCGTGTCTGTGTTAAGACAGTTGTTAAAATTGCTAATTTCTTGTAATGGTTACTGAATTCAGTGCAATTTTATCTATGTAACAAGCTTAGGACTAGACTTAACATTCAAAAAATACCAATAGATTTTACTTTTCTGCAGACCTTCGCTTCTTTGTAGACCCTTCCTGGTTTACAAAAGTACCCCTTGTTAGGGGAACAATGGATGTCCTCAGAACATATACATAGCCCTTCGAGTGCACATCCTTCTTTGTAAATGCTCAATCCTTCTTTAAGCCCCAATACTTGGTCTGTCCAATCGTTTGAAAACAAACCCGAGGGATCGCACCTCTGCTTGACATCTAAGAACTTTTCACCGTCTTTGTACTTCTTGATCGCGCCTTCAAAGGCTACGTTTCTATTCTTTCCCCAATGAGGCATTCCCCTGTACTTAAACACAGCCATCTGCTCGATTTCCTCGAGTATGTCCTCGAACAATCTAGGAGCCATAGGGTCTTTGCTTCGATAGGAAGGAATATCAAAGTCTATTCCATCTTCGTCCTTCCCAAGATAGGCTGTAGAGGCGCTAACATATCTCATTAGTATGCCATTGTACATGTCTAAGCCGCATAATGATTTTGGCTCTAGTTCAACTAGTTTTTTTACATCTTGAATGAAGTTCTTCACTTTGGAGATTCCTATACTAAATCCATGGATGAAAAAGTATTCGCCGTTAATTCTTGGATCCCACGGGCAATATGATTTGAGTAAACAAGACCCTGGAGTTAAGCATCCTCCTGCTGCTTGAAGCTTATTTTGATAACCGATTACAGGGTAGCCTTTAAAGTACTTACCTAATAAAACATCAGTATAACTTGGATTAGCCTTAGCATTTAGCTAGTCAATATCAGAAATTTCTACAGCGTGCATGCTATTTGCAAATACTTGTACAATCTAAAAAATTTCCAAAATAATGAATATGAGTTGAAGAAGATGAGTACCATTGTTGGTTAGTCCGAATGCCATGCCCTTCAGTATGGCTGACACCGCCTTTCCCCCAAAACATTTCAGATCAGCATAGTTAATAGCTTCTGCCAACTGCTCTAAATATAAAATGTATTTAGGAAAGTTGCTAATTAGATTACCAGAGTCAGCACAATTAGGAAAATCTAGTATCCAATAAATAAAAAATTACTTCAAAAATTGATGCTATGCTTTTCTCCTTACATTACAGGATTGTATACATTGATATTTCTGATTGAATCAGGTAGAAAATAAACTACCTATTTTTCTGCTAGCTACCAACGGAGATGCTGCAGTTGGCCGGAAAGGGAGATAGTTATTGACACCATTGCCGGGAGTTGTGGAGGGAACTCTATCATCAATACGATATATTACTTTGTGTTGGCTTGGGTACCATGTTATGTCTCCGAACTCATGTTTTTTGCCAAAATTTAAGGCCTCCTCCCCTAAGCCACTGTCGTCATTGGTTTCCTCTAAAGTAATTGATCTCTTGAAGAGAGACTCTAATTTGAACGTTACCTTAATAAAAACACAAAAAAAAAAAAAAAAAAAATTATGAGTCCTAGATTAAAGTTATTTAATGATGCATATATAGGCAATATGTAGTAGCATTGACTTTCAAAGATCAGCTTCAATGGTACCTGAGAAATGACTCCTAGAACCCCAAGTGAGACTTTAGCTGCATTAAGATCATCATCACCTTCCTCAAGCGTTCGATTCTTATAATACCCATCTTCAACCCTGCCTGGACTAATGATTCTAAGTTCCACAACATAGTCATGCACTGCGCTTCCTTTCAGCCACCATGAGCTTCCATGAGCACCTGTTCCGAGCATCCCACCAACAGTAAGGCCCCACCAGTATGGCGTATGGGGCAACACTAGCTCGTACTTGGCCGCCTCCTTTATCAGCCGCTTTGCACTGTAATGGTTTTAGCCTCCTTGTCCACTTTGAGTACTTCGTTCAGTTTTTTTGTGCTTATGACTAGACTGTCTTCTCCATCAGGACACACCAACTTTGGAACACTGTGACTATATCTGGTTGCTACCTAATAAATTAGATTAAAGTAATATTCTTATAGCTCAAATGTTAAAATTCATTGTTTAACGTACCTTAATTACCCTACTAAAGTTTAAATTTATTAAAAGTTGTACAAGACACATTTTAAATTTTTAATCTGTAAGTTTATATTTATCAAGAATTGGAAAAACTCTTAATTAGGATAAAGTAACTAACGACGAGAGTAGGTAATGAGGTACTGCATAAAACGTAACAAAAATCTGTGGTCCAAGGAACCAATTAAGAACAATAAATTCTTAACAATCCTAAATAATGTAATCCGTACAATAATGCAAAAGAATGTATTTCGAATAATAATATTACTGTTACTTATGGTATTATCTACTTGTACTTATTCAGTGATGAAACTAATTAAATGCCCATAAGATATTATTCTATGTATGGGTTATCACTTATCAGTGTATCGGATTCAGAGTTGCTACAAATGGATTATATGTTGGGTTAATTAACAAGCTAATTAAGTTAATGATTTTTTTAAAACACTTTTTTTTACTAATGCTTGTCAAAAAATAAAAATTTCATTATTTCATTAGAATTTGTTATATACACCCGGAAATACCGTACACCAGGTGTCATTTGCTCATTTAATCAACAAATGATCAAAGTTAATTGTTGTTCGATTCAATTTGGGTTAGATAAATCTGTTAATACAAATCAATACTCGTATAATTGAACAATAATAATATACATATATCAGTGTGATAGGTAGAAGATAACGTGCATATATTAGCATGGACAGCTTATATATGCCTTATAATGATCTGATAACACATGATGAAGAACACAATAGCATCATATTGAAACTATGCTATATACTTGGCTTGATCAATCCTTTCAACATTCTTCATCACATGTTCACAACCGAAATTTTTTATAAAATATTGGTCATGGAGATCGAGTTGGAGACTATAGACCAAGTGAGTACGTACGGGTACGTATGTAATTGTAACATGTACATACCTTCATCTTTCTCTTTATCATTGTTGCTGCAGACACAGCTGAGATGAGCTCAGCTTCGGTGGTAGGATAGACGACATCAGCTGCCCGGCAGATGCTTCGATCAGGGAAGGACTCTTGGGAGTTAGTGATGATGCAGTTGGAGTTGCCGGAGGAGCATTTGATTGGATCCTCCGGAGCAACACAATCACAGGTAACGGTAAAACACCATTGAAGCAAATAATAGCTAATTAGAAGAAGAAAACAACACTTGGACATATACATGGTCATTTCTTGATTAGATAGTTCCATATTGGTAACTATAAATATACATGGTTAGGTTTATTTGAAAAGGCATGGCAGATTAATTTGGAAGCCTTTGTATTGTATATATGCACAATATGGAATATGGATGGGTTGGGAGTGGTTAAGAAATCAATCTTTATTATATATTTTTGTTCATTTATGAGTGGAAGAAAGCATACTATCTTATTCAGGGTCTAATAACTTGCAGATTTTCTACAAGTTATACGAAATTTGGCCTTAAAATACTTTTACCCTACATTGCTGTCGTCCGTGATTAATAAATCAGCACTGCTTAATTATTATGGTGCGAAGTGTGTTGCAAGCAACAACCACAGATCTTTGGTTGCCCTTGGTTAAATTTATGGGTTGTAGAAAACAGATAGTTATTGGCTATTAAAGACATGTTAATCCCTACTAGCTTTTAAAAAGTTTGAGACGTCTTTTTTTCCTTTTTTTTTTTTTTTTTTTTTTTGGTGTTTAGAGAACCACAAGGATGGAGGATGAGAATCGATCTCAGAATCACCTGAAAACGGGAGGAGAACTCTAACCACTTGAGCTATCCCTCACTCTCTTATTCCCTATTAAAGATATGTTAATCCCTAGTACCTATTATATACCCTCTAAAATAATTATTTACTTATTTGTCCTCGCTAATGTTAAACGCTTTTTTTTTTCAACTCTTAAGAAAAGTGTCTAAAAATAATTGTTTACATATTTTCCCTCATTATTGCCGTCAACACTAAAATTGTGACATTAGGCCAAACCAAAAAAGCTTCCCGGACATAACTAACCGCGCACGTTAATTAGCCACCCTAGTAACTTAAAAGTTATAAATATCTGCCACAAAACAATTAAATGGAATTGAAATTTGGCAACTTAGACTGTACTCTTAGAGTATTTCATGGAGAAGAAGATAAATTTAATTTTATCACTAAAAAAAATGTGCTTTAAACAAATATGCGAAAGTTAGATACATGATATTGACATAAAAAAGATAGCTCTTAATGCGAAAGAAAGACAGACAATAATGATAGTTGAGCTTTGGCCTAATCAAGCTTCTAGATTTTGGTGCTTAATACTTTAGAAGTCACTTCTTACACATCCTCATCTACCAGGCTAATGTAACATAAATACAGGCCAGCTAAAAATTGATGATAAAAAAGGGATTGAATAGAATTGTATCAATCTTTTGTATACCATACACTATGATTTTACCAAAGTTATCAAGTTAAGATTTCTTTTCTACTACTACAAACCCTTGCATCCTTGTAAATTCTTCCAGGTTGACAATAGTATCCTTTGTTAGGGGCACAATGACTATCTTGAGAGCAAATGCATAAACCTTCAAGAGCACATCCTTCTTTAACAATACTTAACCCTTCTTTTAGCCCAAGAACTTGGTTAGTCCACTCACTCGAAAACAATCCTTGTGGATCAAACCTCTCTTTAACTCTTATAAACTTGCCTCCATTCTTATACTTCTTGATCACGCCTTCAAATGCCAAGTTCCGATTCTTCCCCCAATGTGGCAATCCTCCATACTTAAACATCGCCATTTGTTCAAGCTCTTCAAGTATATCTTCGAAGAGTCGTGGGGCAAGTGGATCCTTGCTTCGATAATAGGTCATGTCAAAATCTATGCCATCTTCTTCCTTCCCAAGGTAAGCGGTTGAGGCCTTGACGTACCTCATTAAGATACCGTTGTATTCCTCAGTTCCGCAAAAGGATTTAGGTTCTAGAGATACCAATCTTTGGACATCTTGTATGAAGGCTTTTACTTTAGACATACCAATAGTAAATGTGGTTTGGTGGAAGAACTCCCCCTTAACTCTTGAGTCCCATGGGCATGCTGTGATAAGCGCGTCGTTTAGGCTGTCTAGGCATGTTCCCGACGATTGGAGTCGGTTTTGGTATCCCACCACCGGGTAGCCAGTAAAGACGATTCCTAACATTCAAGTCATACGTTTTGAAGTAAGTAATTGATCATATACATACACAAAAATACTCTTGGATTGTAGAATAAAAAAATATGTCAAATTACCATTGTTTGTTAATCCAAATGCATTTATCCGGAGTAACGATGTTGTTAATATTGCAGCAACACATTTGCCTTCAGCATCTGCTCTTGATTCTTGATTCTCCTCTGAGATAGCCACAAGAAAAATGTGCCTGATGTCAATTTGCCAATCAGAAAAAAAAAAAAAAAAAAAAAAAAAAAAAAAAAAAAGAAGTCTTGCTGCAATATAAAAGGACTTGTTTTTTGTAATTTATAATTTTGAAGTTTGAAATGCGTACCTAAGGACCGAATGACCGCTAATGCAGATGAAAGTGTTGGGCGAAATCCAGTGAAGTCATTGAGAGCATCGCCTTTAGTAGTGAGGGGAACACGATCATCAGTACGATACAAGACCCTTCTTTGGCTCGGATACCATGTTAGATCAGCAAACTCGTGTTGATTGCCAAAGGTTAGGGCTTGGTCCCCCAAGTCAGAATCATTCTTCATCGTGTAGGTGATGGACCTCTTGAATATAGGTTGTACTTGGAAGGTCACCTTCAAATATTAATTTATTTATCAAAATTAAAGTCATGCAAATTAACAAGATAATGAATCTTTTCATTTTTTTGGTCATACCTGTGAAATAACTCCAAGAACCCCAAGGGAGACTTTAGCAGCATCAAAATCAACATCAGTCTCATTCAGGGTTCGAACCTTAACGTACCCGTCTTCGAAATGACCAGGACTAATCATTTTTAGGCCAACAACATGGTCATGTATTGCACTGCCTTTGCCCCACAATGAGCTCCCATGTGCAGCAGTGGCCATCATACCTCCTATGGTAAGCCCCCACCAATAAGGTGCATAGGGCAGTGCTAGCCCCGCTTTCGCCGACTCATTGATCAGCTGCCGGAGAGTCACCCCACTGTCCACAGTCATCGTTCCGGTCATCGTGTCGACTTTACGTATTTTGTTGAGGTTCTTTGTGCTTATGAGAAGTCCGTCTTCACCGTCTGGGCATACCAATTTTGGTATGCTGTGCGAGTAACGTGTTGCTACCTATTGTCATCATAAGAAACTTGTTTTTGGCAAAATATTAATTCCATCTATGATTAAAGTCGGCGCCATTTGGCAACACATCAAAGATTAAATAACCATTTTTATGTAATATTAAAGCGGACATGCTTGTATAATTAATCATACAAGCATTATAAGATTCGGATGACTTTTGAGTGGCCACAATAAAATTGTGGTCATTGTATTAAATCAAATTACAACCGCTTATTTTTTTACGAATGTAAATTGTTGAAATGATTTACCTTTTAATTAATTTTTTTTTTAAATTTGACCAAAAAATACTGAAAATATACCACCATCTGCATCATACAATCAATTGAATCATAGATTATTATTTACGGGATTGTATAAGACAAAAATCAATTTATATAGAAATTGACATCTCTATGACCCAAACCAACTGGCCACTATTAAATCCGTTGAATAAGACTACCTACAAATTCACCTCGGCCTAATTTTCAACTATCAGATTTCCTCAATTCTCCACCATTTTAACTAAATAAATCTTATACAACCTCTCACCACCCAAAAATAATATAATTAATGAATGCAATCACAAATGAATGCAGGGAATCTCACTCAAGACCGTAAAATTATTCACAAATTTCAATAAATGATAACCCCAAGAAATAGGCGAAAAGAGATTGAAGATAACTAAAGGAAAAAAAAAAACAATACTTAGTAAACAAAGAAGAAACTGAAAGAGAATTGATAAGAATGTAGAATGTTTTCTTAAAAAAAAAAAATTTATCAAATTTTTTAAATTATAAAATGAAAAGTAAATCATATCAACTGTTTATATTAGTCAATAAAAATTAACAGTTGTGATTTGATTTTATACCGTGTTCACAGTATAACTGTGGCCATTTGAAAACCGTCCTATAAAATTCACGCTCACATAGCCTAATTTACTATTTTTATATCTTTAACTACTTATAACAAGGTTCCACTGCCCACATTTTGTCTCATGTGTGTTTTTTTTTTTCCAAATAAAAGCTCGTATTAATATTATCTTTAACTACTTATAAAAAGGTTCCACTGCCCACATTTTGCCTCGTGTGTTTTTTTTTCCCATATAATAGCTCGTTATTACCTCTTGTTCATGTTATGTGCAATTACTGCAATAAATGAGTTTGTACAGAGTTCTATGCAGAATTATTTATGATTGTTGAAGGAAGAGAGAAAGATAGCGATGAGGATAGAGATAGAGTAAAATGATAGCTTAAAAATGAAAGAAAACATTTATTGCACATAATGTGTAGCAGTTGCTTTTAGTTTATATTGCACATAATACGAAAATACAGTGGTATTTGTTCTATGGTTAACATGCCCATTTCTCCCATGGATTATCCACAGCATATTGCTTAAATTTATTTATTAATTAGTCTCTGTATGTATAAATAAACACCTAAACCAAATGAGAAAAATGCAGCAGGTAACCATATTACATTATATACACGTACAACTATACAAGTGAGCTAACTAACATATTAACAGACACTACAAATTTACAATACCTTAACCTTCCTGTTGTTCTTGGTTGCAGCAGCCACGGCCGCAATGAGCTCATCCTCAGAGGCCGGATACACGACTTCAGCCACTCGACAAGTGGTACGATCAGGGAAAGCTCCATAAGAGTTAGTAATGGTGCAATCGGAGCGATTGTTCGAGCATTTAATCGGATCTTCAGGAGGACTACATACAGCAATACCAAGTAACATGACAAAAGTAGTTAAAACAAGAATTGTTGTTGGTGAGATACAACTTATTTTGCAAGAGAAAAAAGACATCATTACGAAGTATTTTTTAAAATAAGCTAGCTTTAATCGTATATCATAATAAGTGACCATATAAATAGATAGATGTGATTGTGAGACACATGCATATTTTATGTAACAATATGCTTTTAAGTCAAGCTTAAGGTTGTCGATCTTATACAATTTTCAATGTCATTATTGATAATACTTACTTCTGTGAGAGGTGAAGTATTTTCCATAGTGTATTTTCCATAGTTTATAATAAATTTCTATGTATGAAATGATTGATGTTCATTTGAGATACAATTGAGTGGGAATATGGCCATAATACACGTGGGATGTGGATATTTTTACATGTAGAATTTGTTATACATGGTAAGGTTTAAGGTATTAAGAGCAATAAAAATTATTGTTCACTCTTTATAAAACTTAGAAGTTAAATTCATTCTAATATATCAAACACAATCCATTTTATTTATATAAGCTACTTATTAGGTACATCTTCACCCAAAAAAAAAAAAAAAAAACCTAAACCTATGAGGTTCATAAACGTATATAAGCCACGCCTACATTTTACTTTTAATTTATTGATCTTTAAGAAATACAGTATTTAAACTGTAAATGCCATTTTATTCAATAATTATTAGTCAATTTCATTTCCCTATTAGTAGATTCATTAGAACAACGAAATCGACGATAAAATTGTTTCAAAATTCATATTTCGCCATTAATTTCCAAAATAATAAATTTTTTTAATCTACAATAGTATTTGGTTCATTGTTTTTCTAATTTAGCCTTTATGTAGTTTCGGGTGCACAAAACAAGTTACATATACCAGGCACATTTGATCAAAATCAAATTCTATTTAGAGGTGCAAATGCTATAACAACCAAATGAAAAGCCCATCATCCATGCATGGCTCGTAATCTCTAAAATGGATGGAGCCCACTTAAGGCTTGAATAGCCCAAATTCTCGTTACTTGAATCTTTGCAGTATCGAATAATCCAGCATTCAGCCTATGCAAAAATTGGGTTAAATCCAAAGATTTCATAACATGGATACCTCAAATTTCGTAGAACAGATTCTGCTGTTATTGAGAGTAAGATGTTTATTAAGCTTAAATTTTTTACTTGTATTTAAGTTTCAAATACTCCTTCGTTTCTAAATGTTTTTCCAATTTAAACAATAATTGTTTTAGAAAAAAGCCAAACAGAAACATATTTAGTAGGAACATTTGTCAATTTTAAGACAATGTCATATGATTTGGGTTGCTCTTGACATAGTATGAAGATTCTGTCTGCTACGTAAAAGATTTTTTTCATGATGATGATGATAGTCAGTGCCTAGTAGTCGTGTAGTAGTAGCTGGTCAGTGATGTTGGTTGAATTTCATCAATTTCTGTAGAAGTCTTTCATTATTTTCAGTGAAACAAAAGATTTCTGTTTTTTTGACTCGTAAGTTAGCACATATTTGGGTCCTTTTTCTTTCTCGGTAGCCTTTTTACTTTCTGTAACAACACTGAAAATATCTACCATGTAGCAGTTAGAATCTTTTACTGGGTTTCTCTCCAAAATGACTAGCAATCTCTCCTGTTTCAAGGATTTACAATCTTAAATTAACTCCCTGGTGATCTAGACTTTGCAAATGAATTTGTCTAATCCGATTTGACTTAGAGTTGATTCAATTTGTATTATGTTCTTTTGCAAACATATTCAGTTCAGTTTGGTTTTAGTCTTTTTTATCTTAACACTTTCACCCAATTAGGTTGGATTACATAAATTTCTATTCGAAGTAAAATCAAGTTACATTATTCCAAAACTACACGCGTTATGGTTTAGGTTCAAGCTTGGATCGAGTAATAGGGTGTTAGCTTGCCGAGTGGATATGCGTTTTCATCATATCATAAACTACCAAATATCGCTTTTGGAAGTCCCTCAATAAATGTAATTTGCACGTTTAGATAGGAACATAAGATCCCCACCATTGTAAAGAAAGACAAGGAGCACAAAGACTCTTATGCTCCGCTGGAAATGAGATTAAAAAAAAAAAAAAATCTGGCTTTGACAAATCCACGTCAAAGTAAATTACATTACATATAACAAAGAACATCAGGACAAAAAGAAAACAAGTAAGCAAATTACTGGATTAGAATGTCACAAATTATATGATTACATGGATAATTAATACACAATAAAATGAAAAAAAACCAAACCCCGGTAACTCAATACAGCTACAAACAGAAACATTTATGAACCAACTACCAATATCAAATCATTGGATTCGCAGATCAGAAAAAATTAATGAAACTTTCCCACTCACCTGATTTTTACTGTCAAACAAACAAAGTTAGCAGCAAATTAAACACCACCTAAAACAATCAATGAAAAATCAAATTATCTCAACCACCTTCTAAGATCACTGGTTGAAGATGGGGAAATCTCACCCCCAAGACTATCCGTACAACAAGATGAGTAAATTGATTGTTGCTCCATCATCCCCAATTGAACACCATTCACACTCTTAAAACTTGGGCTCCTCAAGTTGTAGTTTCCATACCCCATCCCACTGTATGGGTCAGGATTGGGGAATGACAGCCTCTTCTTGACCCCGGACCCGGTTCCGGGTCGGTCTCGCTCTGGTGTCGAGGGCCGATGCCTGGGAGCGCTTTGAGACCGGAGTCGCGCTTTAGCAGACTCCGTGGCTGCCATGTAATTGGGTTTGGGCCCACCACTGCTAGTGCTTGTGGTAGCACTGGTGGCAGCTCCTTTGTGATTAGGTTGGACGTTGCCATTATAAAAGTAATTTGATCTTAAACTTGGTGTTTGAGACACTTGACTGCTGTAGTTCCTCTCTTCTCTAATGCAACGTGGGCTGGCGGACCGGACTTGAATAGGCCGCGCCCGGGATGGAGAGGGAGTGGTGGATGGTGGATGTTGATGCTGGTGGTAATGATGTTGTGACTGAGATTGGTTGTGATGAGCTCGAGGCGAGGATGGGCGTTGATTATGGTGCTGAGCATGGTAATGGCTTGCTGATGTTGAAGTTACTGATCTTCTGAAGTTAGGAGCTAAGTAAGAGTAAGGTTGTGCAGTGTCAATTTCAACAGTTTTGATTGAGTCTCTATGATCAGTTGAAGCTCTGGCTCTAACAGCAGGGGAAGGGGCAATGCTGGAATCCCATTGTTTAGAGGCCATCCATCTGTCTAGCCATCTGGGTTTCTCCTCCAGCTCTTCTTCTTCCACTGAACTCCTATCGCTTCTCCACATCTTTTTGCCCAAATCAAATCATGTGGCACACAAATGAGCCCAATAACACAAACACGAACACAGAGAATGGGGTATTGAGGGAGGAGTGAAGAGAACTACCTGCTGAGAGAAAGCTTGGGAGAGATTCTTCTCTCGTCTGAGAACAGCATCTTTTCTACTCTGCAACATGGCTTTGACTTCCTCAATAGTGTGCGGCCTTTCATCCCAATCATCTGCTAAACTACTTGGTTCTCTTGAATGTGACTGTTACATTTAACAATCCAATCCATTTTATACATCAATTAGATGAAAGAAATTAGGGAGAAAACCAGGGGAATTAATTGAGGCTTACAAGTGATCTTCTTTCTGCTATATCCTGGAGATAGCGCGATTCAACAACACTTGTGGTATCACTGAAGGTAGATTTTCTGCTACCTTCATGAGATAATCTCAAGCGTTGATCAAGAACCCGGGCTTGAACTCTAACCAGAGCTTGCATGCATTTCAATGTCATCTTGGCTTGCTTTCTAACATTATGCCCTCTTACTAAAGCTTGCAACTTTACCAACCCTTTCAGTGCTCTGAGCGCCCTCCTAGCCTTTCATTCCCAAACCCAATAAAATCAATCAATAAACCATGTTTTTGTCAAGTCTTTTCATTCTGATATACAAGAAAAGCAGTGCTTACCAAATATCCTCTGAAGGCAGTCTGAATGAGAACAGCTGCAGAATGTTCTCCGAGGTAGTTAGCATTTGTTGGCAATGAATTTGTAAGCCTTGCCGCCTCCATTGCAGCATGTGCGGTGGCGACAGCGGCATCAGCAGCAGCCGCTGTAGCCACTGCCACTGCTATAGCGTGCCTCTGCTCAGACACATCACTTCCTGTGGCTGCAGAAACAACAGGACCACCAACACCACTACTGCCATTACTACTCTTTACATGTGGGCTATGCTGCACAGCTGTAGTAGATGGTGATTCTTGTTGATTTGTTGCCTTCTTGAAAAGCCATCTCCTTTTCTCTTTCTTCTAAACCACATAAAAAATAAAAACAAAAACCCATTAAAACCCACAAATTAATTTACAGGAAAGATTCAAACTTTTTTCACTTGTTTGAACAGCTAATTAAGAAAAAAAAAAAAACCTTTTCATCATCTTGGTCCTCTGATAGGGGAGTATCATGATGATCTTCTTTTCTTCTGCAATTCCTAACTTTGTCATGACTTTCTTTAGTAGGAGATCTAAAAGCTCTCTTAACAGCAGTCAACCAAGAACTACCCCCTTTCTTCCCCATGGATCATTACATTCATTCAAATCTTAAAACCCACCCAAAATGTTTATATTGTTACCCCACCCCCCTATTCTACAGCATATTCCATCAAAATTTGGCTAGTAAAAGAATGTTATATGGGATGCTACTATAAGACAAAGCCTATATATATCAGATCTTTCTATAGCAGCTAATATTTGGTGAATGAGGTTTGGTTTGATAATTAATAAATGCAAATAAGAAAAAGATGGGAGGGAAACAGTAGCTACTCAAATTATGACTGCAGGAGGAAATGAGGGTTCAATACCAAAAAAATAATTCACTGGGAAAGGTGAGAGGTTTTTAGTGGGCATAAGCGTGGTGGGTGTCAGAGGGTGCGTCATTTACTTGCAACTACTATAATAATAATAATAATAATCATCATAAGATAAAGTTTTTATTTCATAAATTATAAAAATCTAGATTCTAGAGTAGTCAGCAACAATAATACAGAAAAAGTACAACAGATCTCTTTCTTTAATTAATTAAGTTAAGTTTCTTATTCTGGGGAAAAGGATAATGAGAATAAATAAAGACAGGCATTGAAGGTAGCGACTTATAGAGAGCAAGCTCACTGATGACTGATAAAATCGAGAATTTTGAAAGCTTTGAGAGTGAAATGAGAGAGTGAGAATAATAACAGATCATAAGAGTAGCGAGAAGGGTAAACTGGGTAAAAAAAAAAAAAAACTATAAACAGGGAAGAGATGACATGCACAGGAATCAAGACAGTTGCACTAGTGGGTATCCTTTTTTTTATCAGATTCCAGCTTTACCTATGAAGATGCTAATCTAGCTCTAATATATAAACACGATTATGTATAACTAAGTACTTAAGTATCAAGCATTAATACACTAATGGATGCGTGAAGTAAATAGATACTCCAAAAGTAATACGGAGTGCTATTTTAAGAAATACTGCGTATACGGGTTACAGTATACCAGAACCCAGTAAGAAGAATTGATGAGTGGGAAAAAAGCTAAAAAGTGTCTCTCCAATTCTGGTGATGGAATCACGTGTAGTGGGATCAGGGGGAAAGTAAGAACACTTAAATTTAGAGTCACAAAAACCACACCACACATGGCTAGTAGCTACATGAATAATAAGAGAGGGCCTAGGCTTAGGGGTGCGGGGTCATTCAAGAGCGTTGCATGTTGGCAAGCTGTCCCGAGTTTTGTAGGACTTATTACATGACAAATAACACTCCCAAGTACTCCTGTACTTGTAAACTTGGCAGCAGCTGTGTCACTGTTGCCATTTTCTCCACTAAAAAAAATGCTAATGGGTGGCTTTCAATAGCAGAGCAAGAATGACTGGTCAAAAGTATTTATGATTCTCCAGTTTGGGTTCTGGTTTGCAGGGTAATAATGCAGTGAAATCATTCTGAGCTCATGCCTTATGCCAAGTTTATTAATATATCACCTTCACCTCACTCTCTCTCCTAATCTTATGTTTTACATCAATGTTAATGCAACTATGAAGGCACTAGTTTTTTACCGGAAAATACGGGCTCCTTCTTTACTTTCCCAAAAATTTCTCTTTCAGTAACTTATTAAGGTTAACATTGCCCTATAAAGATTGCTTAGCTCAAAGTTATTTAAGTTAACATTCTACTTTAAGCCACTTTTTTCTCTAACCTCTCCGTCATCCTTACTAATATTAACATCGACAAGTACGACAACTACTCCGTAGAAATGACGATGTATATCAATTAAAAATACCAAGTATACATGTGGAAATACCTGTTTTGATTATCTTTTACGGTAAAACTTTTGTCAATAGCTTATAATATGATCTTATCTGTATAATTCAGTCATTAATGTTATAAATAATCCATAATTGAGAACAACAGAACTACCTTCATCTTGTCCTCAAATACCTCTCGGTTGCTTCCCTTATCATTAAGGTAATATATCCTTTCCATCAATTATGAATAATACAAATTCATGATTTGATGCCACTAACAAATGTAGTAAGTTATTAATACAAATCTGCAGTGGTAGGTCGTGTGCAATGAATTAAGAGGGCCAGCCAGTAAAATCTTTGGGTCTAAGATATGCGTGAAGTACTAGTCCTTGTAGAGTAAAACTCCTCTTCAAATAGTTCATTTAAGTTTGTCCATATCATAACTCGTAAGTGTTCTGTCCCTTCATGTCATGGGTAAGGACTAAGGATTAAGGACACTCCGTATTGTATAGTTCCTACACAATACTCTCTCAATTACTAAAAAAATATGCCCTTAATTTCATTTTGGATTGCTTTTAAAATATTGTCTCATTTCCTTTATTAATAACACGGTCTCTACTATCTTTATCACATAACTGACACACTAAAGAACAAAATCACAAATTTACTCAATAGAATTCTTAAAATAGTTGGTTACATTACGGGAATGGAGAAAACTTCCAGAGATGGAGAGAGTAGATACTAAGGAGCACCTAATGTATGCTGCAACGGTACTTTTTGAGGTCTTAAAACCTTACCAATCTATCGAAGCTTTTTTTGTTTCCTCTTTTCCAATAATAATACGAGGCTAACTTATCCAAGGCTCCAAGCTTTCCCTACTTAAATCTGAGCACATGCAATCTTGTACATCAAACTTTTTAGTGAATATCAGCTTTTCCTATCTTTTTTGCTAAGCCAAGATCAATCACTGCAACATCCAACCACCAATCGACCATAGGCAGCAAGATCAATTTCAATCATTTACAATTACATGATTATATTTCTAGTCCTGAACTACAATCTTGAATTTCATAATACTACAGCAGAATCTGAAGATATTTTTCATAGTTATACATGCATAACCCAACACATGCAGGTGCTAGCATAATAACGCAATGTGAACACTTTTCATCGTGGTTTGGTCACATACATGCTCTAGTACAACAATCACAAGCTTGGTTCTGCCCCAACACAAAATGATATTAAAATAAATTTTAATGTAAAATATATCTTGTCTAGATAACATAGGTTGTTGTAGTCAATATTAAAGACAGAAACAAAATAAAGTCAGAATCAATATAAAGTCAACATTGCTGTAAACAATTAATTAGGGTAGATGCATAAGGCCTCTAAATGAACATAAAAAGTTGCCTCGTAATTTTCCAACAAGAGTGTATTCTAGAGGACCACATTACAATATACATCCCTAATTCCCACCTGGATTGTAACATTTCATGAAACAAAGCCCAAAATTTCTCTTCCCAGACGCAATGCAAAAGCAACAAAGCAAAGTTCAACATCAGCGAGTACAGCTGAATCAACCAAATATACCTCCACTGACCAGCCTCTTAATTGTCCGTTATATACCAACAGAAAATACTGGTTTTCGAGGTCTCACCTAGCTACATCCACTACAAAATACATTTAGATTGCTTCCCTCAAGCTAAGTACTTTGAAATGCAATGACTTTCATCCAGATAACCTCATATTACACTAGAACTTTTAGCTCACTCTGCTCCTGAATCTCAATGTTGATCGTGTTCTAAGCAGAGGTTTTCCTTTTCTTAGTACTCACTCTCTGTGTACAAAGCAGAGCTAATTTATGTCTCCAAAAATCAAGTGTAAGGACTTGATCACAATATCAACGCACCATATATCATATCTATTCTCTCAAGTGTATACGAGTTCATAGATTACTCAATCCATATGTTATATAATGTGCAAAACCCTTTTCTTAATCCTAAACATAACATATGATCACATCTTATAATCATTCAGCTGCAGCTTTAATAGAGATTAGTGATAGTGGAATCCAACTCATCACTTTCAAATTTAGTCTATTAGTAGTGAGTTATCTACCCAGTGACTCAGTAAGTTGATGTAGCTATGTCACTTATAGCAAACACCGCTAAAATGCACATCATTGAACCCAGCATTAAGTATATTCTCTCCTAATGCCTTATCTTAATACCTTGGACAACCAATGATTTTCTCTAAGACTAGTTGGGTAACTCACAGCCTAAATTCTTACAGGAAATACAAGTACGGGTTAACATGTTAGTCACCTAACATTCTAACAACTACACTAAACTGCCAAATTAAAACCTATATACAAAAGAAAAAAAAAATTGGCTACTTCGTAATATCCAGCATATTAGGGTTTGATTTAGCAGATTATGACAAATTTCTCTATTGAAATTGATTACTCTTTGCTTTATAATAAAGTGATTTTGCACATTTTAGTCAAACCCTATACGATTTAAATTGCAAAAATTAAGGCGGGAAAAACATCTCAATGATGCATTACTAAAAAATTAGGGTTTGAGGAACAATCATGTAATCAAGAAAAAGACAAGATAATTAAGCATAATTGGTGATCAATATTAAAACTAAAGTAATATTTATTTTTACTATAAAAATTACCAAAAAAAAAAAATGAAATCAAAGAGGACAATTGAAAAGTTGAATTTATGAAAAATGCCAAAGGGTATGAAGAATTCACCCAGAATAAGTTGTGAGTTGAGCGAAGAAAATTAGGAGTAGTAGCAAAAACGGCGTCGCTTTTGGTCGTCTGCTCTCGAAGTTGAAGTCGAAGAGTTGGAAGCAGGGACATGAAAATGCAGAAATGGCTCGCGAGGTCATGTTGGACTCAAAATGGCCCTTAATTTAAAATTGTGTAGTTCGCTAACAAATTTTCAGCCCTATCACTAGGCCCAACCTTTTTTATTTTTTAATGGTGTAAGAGAGTCGCATGGCCCGCAAGAATATATTCGGAATTTGACTTCAGGCTTTAAATATCACTCCTCAAAATTTTAACAAATTAATCTAGTTGAGCATCCACATAACATCGCGCTTATTAGTGCAAAATTTCGACTATTTAAAATTTTAAATTTTAATCAATTAAAGAAATGATGCATATAACAAGATCTGACATAATTATTTCTGTTGTAAAGTACTCCCTCTTTCCCATAATAACTAATAACTGACACGGTTAAACTTTGCACACATGCCGATGCACAAATTTGACCTTATTTTTATATAATTAAATATTAATAATAATTATAAAAAAAGTTATACATTATGAAACTTTATATTAATACCAATTTAACAACATGATATATGGTAAAATACACTCTTATTATGTTAGTATAAAATTATAGTCAAAGTTAATATTACCTCTGTTCCTTAAAGTTCGACTCACTTACTATTCATTTGGTCAAAATAAAATAACTTTGACCACATGTTATGATTTATACAATAGAAATAAATTAGCATGAGGGATCTTATTAGATTCCCCTTAATATAAATTTTTCAAATATGAACTTTTTATAATTTTCACTTATATATAGCTAAAGATATTCGTAGTAAAAATTATTCATTGGGGATCGCGCAAATACAAAGTTAGTCGAACTTTCAGGAACAAAGGGAGTATATGAATAGTGAAAAAAATTCCAATGTGTCAATTATTTTGGAATAGAGGGAGTATTAATCAATAAAAAATAATTAACATAATTTGGGCGAATAATATAAAAGTTAACATAGTGCAATCAAGAAAAATGAAGGAAGTGTATTGTAAAAAAGAATTATGTTTTCTCAACCCATCTGAGTCTTATAGTTAGACTAAGGGCATGCTCTATTCACCTTATTTTCACTAATCTGAGGGCTAATAAGTTGAGATAAGTTTAGTTTAGTTAAGATAAGTTTTAATAAGTTCAGTTCAGGAGAAATAAGTTTAGATAAGTTCAGTTTAAGAAAAATGAGTTCTAATAAGGGTTACCCAGGTTCAATTTGCAAACTAAAACTAGTATTTAGTCCGGGTTA